TGAAGTTTCTTTGAAGGAGACAAGTTCCCCCCCCACCCCCCATCTGTCTGGGAGCCGTTTCCTCCTCCCATCATATTTCTGGGGGAAAGCCTCATTTCTTTAGGGTCCATTGTCTCAATAGGGGTCAGAATGAGAGTCCTGTGTGTCTTCTCTGCATGTTTTCATTTCAGCCAGATTGTTCACAAATATGACCAGTCACCCCAACAACAGAATAGCATTTGAGGGGTCCATATACTGGTTACATCTGCCCCTGATACCCACCCCCAAGCTTGGACTGTAGGCTGGGAGCTCAGAAGTAGCATACACTGACATTTCCCTTTCGGTTGCTTCCATATGAGATATTACCTCATTATCCAGCACGTTTGAATCACGTTTTATAGGCTGAAAATGTTTTTGAGCTCAAGCCATGCAGGCAAAAATAGCTTGCCATACCTCGAGCCGAGGATAGGGGCGCTGTTGTACACCGATCAAGATGAACCCATAGCTTAGTCATGTTAGCAGGGGGCTTCTTACCGGCGAGGTGCTCGAAACAGGAGGTACTTTAACCCACAGCAGTTACTTATAAGGTTCCAAAGCCCTCAAGAAACTGAAAAAAAAAAAAAAAAACCCCAGTCAGGGTATGTCTTCAAGTAGGAACATTGCAACTATTAGAGCTGTTTTGTGATCTGGGGGTTTTGCAAACCAAGAGACAGAGAGGCTGTTCTGGTATTTTCTGATGGAAAGAGTCTTGCTGTCTAGCTTAGGAGGGTGATAGGGTCACTTTGAACTTAGTTTGAGCAAGTTTGTCCTTTTCCCTCCGAAGAGTGTCTGAGGTTAGATGCTTGCTCACTGTAGGCCGCTTTGGTGCCACTCTTCCCAAATGCTTTTCTGAGCTTCTTGAGAATAGACACACTGCCTCTTTTTATGGGGGAGACAGAAGGTGCCTCATCCACACATTGAAACAAAACCCAGAAGAACTCTGCCTAGGCATTTGTCTGGATTCAGAGTTCCTCAGGGAGTCAGGCCTTGTCTGTAAATGAGATGAAATTGTTTTTAAGTGGGGATCAAACTTGGTGGCTCCGAGTAAACACCTGACCATTTTAAATTGATTTGTTTGGAGACAAGGCCTCAATAGGTAGCCCAGGCTAGCCTTTGAGTTACAGTCCTCTTTCCCAGGACTTTCCAGTGTTAGGTTCTTGGTTGTGTACCGCCATGATAAAGCAAAAACTTGAAAGAACATTTTGCGTTGGGGACGGGGGAGGAAAGTGTCCATATTTTATCTTTCCAGACAGTTTTAAGGGAAAAATAATTTTCATTTATTCTTTCTAAGAGATCCACAAGGTGAATGGTTAATGTCTTCTTGAAAACCCTGAGGTTCAGCATGACCGTTATGTTACTACGGACTGCTACACACTGAAAACCAGAAAAGCTGGCTCCTCCCTCAGCAGGCCAGTGCTCTCTGCTCACCATGCCCACTGCTCTGCACTGCTGGGCATCTGAGCCTTCATGCATATCTATCTATCTATCTATCTATCTATCTATCTATCTATCTATCTATCTATCTATCTATCTCCAACTTAGAGCCATGCCTTTTGTTTTGGAAGCAGCGTCCTTAGGGCTGAGGTCTGGATGGCCTGACAGACTTCTCCATTGTCCCCCGAAATGGTATGTGCAAAGGTGTTTCTTGCATTCACCACTTGAAACGGCCATGTTGCATCCTTCTGTCACCTGGGGCAAGAGAACCCAGACCCTTCGGTAGGCAGAGGCGACAGGAAGAACAAGTTCTCGCTGCCCGTCCTGCGTGGAGCATGGGTGGCCAGTGCTGTGAAAAGCTTGTCCTCATCTATAAAGTATCAGTGGGCTGTGCCGAAGTCGAGAGGCTGGCACGCTCAGTGAGAGGATCTCCTGAGCGTGGTGTGGCACAGGCACTAGGCAAAGGCATGGCTCCTCTTCTCCTGGATCCACACGGGGAAGGGTGCAGTCACCTGTCAGGTAGGCAAGGCTGCTCGTAAATGTCACTGCTTCTAAGTGTCTTAACCGTACTCACACAGACTGTGGCCTTTTGCTGTCTGACGCTTATCATCATGGGTAGATATAGAGGAAATGACCTGCATCCATGAGAAGCGTTCACACGCATCTTTAAAAAACATTTGTCATCGAGTCTATGAGCCCTGCCCCCTTGTGATCCTTGAAGCCACGTTTAGGCCTTGGCTTAAACTGTTAAGTGTACCATAGGCATCTGTGCAGCGCTTGAACACTTAATTGTGGTACCGTGACGAGTAAATCTGCCATTGAAATAACCCAGCTAACATTCACTCTTTGGAACTCAATCCTATGAGAAGTGTTTTTAAAATGAATTCCGAATTTCCAAAATGGCAAGATATTTTATTTTTTGAAGGCTGGTTATTTTAACACCACATTGTTAGGTGTGATTTTTGACATCCCAGCAAGGCAAAGCTGTAATCTCACCAGATGCCATTTAACTTGGGGTGCGTTTTGTCAGATCTTATTTTGTGCGGTATATGCACACTTAATATAGATTCCGCGGCTCTGGAGACTATTAGCGCTCAGGATGACAGAAACTGAATTGTCTGGGTTTGTGGTGCAAATCTCAGAACAGAGATTTCAAGTAAGTTTTAGAGCCTGTAATTATCATGGACTTTTTAATAGCCAGTAGAATCTAGGCCTAGAACCTGGGCCATCGTCTGTTTGGGTGGGATTCTGCCAGTGTGCTTTTCTATATGTAAACATAGTCTATGCATCTTCTGTTTCCATCCTGGGAAAAGGAGATAAGCTGGAGTCAATGCCAATCTCGGGAAACCCGGGCAGGTGTAGCTGTCCTGATGGGTAGACCAACAGGTCTTCTCTTGAAGGCCATACCTCAGCATCACTTGGTATATCCATGGTATTGGGCATGATGGTACATCCTTATAATCCAAACATTTGGGAGGGCAATGTAGGAGGATCTCAAATGCAAAGTGGCACAGGGATGCATAGGGAGACCCTGTCTCAACAATCCCACAGAGGGGCAGAGTTACACCTGTATTCTCTGCACTTGGGAGGTGCAGAAGAGAGAGTGCTTCAAGATCTGAGCAAGCCTGGTCTATTTAGCAAGTTGCTGGCCAGTCCAGCCTCCATAGTAAGACCTTGTCTTACAAACCCAAATCCAAACCAAGCATCCATAACCCCTACCTGTGATGGGGCCCCAGGGGTTCTGGTTCAGAATGACACCATGTTTGGTTAAAAACTAATGTGAGGCTGGGGACCACACGTGAGGAGGAGGAAGGCAGGAGTCTGAGTGTCTTCCTTGCATTCTTTCAAGTTCCTCAGGTCCTGGAAAAGAAAGGCTGCCACCTTTTTGTTGCACTTCCCTGTGAGCGTGTGCCATTAGGATGTGATGAATGGTGTTGTAGCTTCCAAAACAGTTCATAAAATCTGATGATATGGGACACTTGGAAAACATAGTTGTATTCCAAAGCCTTCACATCCATATCTTTTTGGCAGGGGGCAGGGCGCAGTGTCTGATTTAGCTCAGGCAGGCCTCAAACTTGCTTTGTAGTTGAAGATGACTTTTAGCTTCTGACCGTCAGCCCTCTGCCTCCTGAATGATGGGATTACAGATGTTCACTACCGCGCCCAGAGTTGGCTTTCATGGTGCTTGGGATCAAACCCGGGAAATCTGTTACAACCTAGGAGAGCATTCTTTTCAGTTGAACTATGCTCCAGGCCTTCTATATCTGTTTTCCTATTGACTTTTATATACATCTTCAGACAGGCATTCCCAGAAATACTCATGTTCAGATTTAAAAGTAAAAACAAGTAGAAATATGTATGCTCAAGGAGAATTGTTTATCTGCTTGAACGGATCTGAAGTAAACGCCTTTGAAGTCTGTGTGTCCAGTTGTAAACAACATCTCTCCTTCAACTCATCCCATGGGTTCATTAGAAGGGAAAGCAGTAGATCAGAGCCTCGCTGCCACCGCCTCTTGAGTTAGGCTCTGAATATTACTGGGTGTGTGTTCCCACCGCGTCATTAGCTCATTCTGTGCTTCTTCCTTGGGTCATGTACCACTTAGGACCACATTACAGTCTTAGCTGATTTTCCATGACTTTCTATTCCAGGGTGGTCCTCCCATCTGTGTGTCTGCATTTTCCATTTCTTTTACTCATCTTCTTGCTGGTTTCCAGACCGTCCCAGTCTGCACTTTGATGTTTCTAACCTTGGCGGGTCTTCTTTACTCGGGCGGCTACCCTCCACTTCATTGGAGACTGAGGGGGATTGCTCGATACTCACTGAACTGGATAGCAAGGGCAGGCAGAGGATCACTGTTGAGGTTTTTGTCTTGATTCTGTCTTTCTACCAAATGAAGACATTATGTTGGGAGGCAGAGGAGCTGGAACAGAAAGGGATGTTTTTTTCTGAGGCATGTGATTCGTGTCTCACCTTCTATTCTATCCTGGTATATGCATAGCCAGCTTGAGCGGTTTCATTTATAACTGCTATGTGGCTCAGGCTAAATAGTTAGATCTGAGGGCAGAACCTGAGGCAAACTGGGACCAAGCCATCCTGAAATTGCACGGTACCTCAGCATGTCTGAGCTTCCTAGACTTTGAGATGGGAAGCTGGTTCATCCAAGTGCCGAGGACAGGATGGATTCATTGAGTCTGCCTCCTGTCTGTTCTATGTCTGGGTTTTTAGAGCAACCCCAACTTTAGTAGCTAGCCCCATTCCCAATGCTCTGATTTTAGTGCTAAAGACGCACGCGCAGCTCTCGTGATAGTGAGGGGTGCTGTATAGCAATGGGGAACACTACAGAAGCCATCTTCTTTACAGGATTCTTGGGTGATGGTGAGAATAGTCCGAAGTGAGTGAAACTATTGGCCCTAGACCTATGTCTTTGTGAGTCTCCTGATCGTGTGCTTGGCGTAGATACAAACACTTGGTGTTCCAGGTGAGGTGCACATCCAATGCTGGCAAGCAATGTCCTGAGCGTGACCTTCCCTCTCTTCTCATCTCTCAGAGTGCCGAGCAGATTGCGGAGCTCTGCAAGGGCTTGAACAGCACCCACGCCAACAGTATGGAAGCACCAACAGAGAGCCATGACCCGCCTCCCAGGCCTCTGGCTCGGCACCTCTCAGACGCAGACCGCCTCCGGAAAGTCATCCAGGAGCTTGTAGACACAGAGAAGTCTTATGTGAAGGTAATGGGAAGTGGTGGGCATGCACACGCCCCTTTGTCGATGATGATGTCACTCTGGCAGAGGTCTGAGATTGCCTCTGCCTGGGACGTCGGCCACTCAGGATGTAGACGTGTGCTTCTTGAGGTGGATTGCCTCAGGGAAGGGAGGGCAGGTTGAGTGGGTAAAAGAACTTAGAAGACTCCAAAAAATTGGATTCTTGGCTCCTTTTGTTGCCAAGGCAGCTTTCACTATGGAAACAGATGTTGGAGTTCGTTATTTGCAGTCTGTGGGAACGGAGTCCACACTGCTTCAGCAAGAAGAGTAGAGATCACTTTGGGTTATGAGGAGCTGAGAAGCATTCTCTACCCTAGGGGCCCTGAATATAGGTTCTCAGAATCCAGGGGGTCAGCCCTATCCATGGGAAGCCCCGTGCAGAACGGAAGCACTTTATCATACCACGACAAAGGCATAGCTACCATGGTCTTGGGTACCGACTGGATTCCTTCATCTGATCAGCCAGCCCCTAGTTAGTGATTGGAGAAACTTTCTGTTAACATGGGAGATTGGAAACACAGTATTCTTTGCTTTAAGCACTTGCTCATGCTTTGGGGCTATCCTAAGCTTGCTGTGTTTGTCAGTCTCTGGAAGAGCATGGCCCAGGACAGTCCAGGCCTGGGCTGGCTTGGAGTGCTGCTGCATGCTCTTTGGAAGGGCCTCTCCAACTTCCTTGTTGGTCCCTGCACTTGTCACCAGTCTTCCAGAAAATCTTACCTCTGTTAAGTCCACGAGTTACACATTGACACACATGTGGCTGTTACCCTTTTCTGTACAAAATAGACCCAAGGAACTGGGAGTGTAGCTCCGTTGGTACAGTGCTAGCAGACATGTACAAAGCCCTGGGTTTGATACTGCTGAACTGGGTATAATGGTACATGTTTGTAATCCCAGCACTCTGGAAGTAGAGGAAGGAAGATCAGGAGCTGTTATCTTTAGCAACATTATGAGTTTGAGGCCAGGCTGGGCTATACTAGATTACTCTAGAAGCAAACCAAACCAAACCAAACCAACCAGCAAAGGCAGATTCGAGCTTAGTGTGCTGCTGCTGTTTCCCAATACTTTCTCAGAAATCTTATGTGTAGCTAGCCCCAGCGCCTCTTGTATTGGTCTGTGAGAGAGAAAGAAAAGCTAGAGAGATTTTGGCTTCACTTTCCAGCATGCCTTGTCCCATATCCTGTGGAAGGGAGAGACTTCAGGGAGCTCAGAGCTTCTTCAGGGATTCAGCAATCTTGTTCAAGCAGCTCTGGGATCTGTGAGTGCTTGAGGTGCCAGAGTCATCTGACAGCATCTGGCAGCATCATAGAACCTCTGTGTCCAAGGCGCAGTCCCTTTCATCACCATCCCCCTTTTGGAGTACACTGTACCAGCAGGGCCATTTCCAGTAATGGTTAGGCTACTGAGGTAGATGGGGGAGCAGGTAGGGGAGGAAGGACCAACTCTTCCTTCCCTGCAGGAACCCTGCCGTTTGTTTTTATAGGGCTCCAGGCACAGAGCCTTTTTGCTACCCCAGGCTCAGCATGACAGTGACAGGCTCCTGCTGTGCAGCAAGTCCTCTGGGCAAGTAACATTAGCCTGGGCAGGGGTGACTGTGTCTGACAAAATAACCAGTGTTCAGTGCAGAGTTATAGTTCACAGTGAGCCCTACTATTTCTTCATTTCTTGTTGCTGACTTAACACAAGATTTTCTTCGTTGTCCTGCTTGGATCTAACTCCAAATCTGCATGCACCTTGACATTTTCCACATCTGTGTGTCCCTGAGATTTGATCTAGTAACTCACAGTCACCTTCCCTCCTCACATTCCCAGGTTGTTGTGAACGTGGAGAGGGAGGGAAGGAGGCAAGGGGGGAGGGAGACTGGGAATGCAGGGAGGTTTTTCATTGTGAAGAACCAGAAGTGTTGGTTTGCTCTCAGGGCAGTCACTAGTTAGGCTCTAGGACACTCTGGGTTTCACACAGCTTTCTGGTTTCTAAGACTTCTCCCTTGCAAAGCTGGAGAGTCAGGAGGAAGTCAGAGGCTAGCAGATCTCTGTGAATTCAAGGCTAGCCTGGGCTACATAGTGAGTCTGCATGGAAGTCAACTAGTTCTAGGTGTCTGACTCCTGATTCTTCAGAATAAATGAAACCCCAAAGAAGTCTTTTCTGTCACTAAAAGGTATATTGTTTTTGGCTTCAGGTTCTTAAATTGTAAACTTTAGTGGATTACGTAAATATTTCCACTGTTGTATTCGTTGTGTTCTCTGAATGACTAGACCAGTAGAGACTCCAGTGTGGGTTAGGTTGTAAAGAACTCTGCTGCTCAATGTTGGTGCTCTTGCACCTGAGCACACGAGTTGGAAATTCTGCTGGTTTCAGCCTGAAGTCACAACTCCATACAGAGAATGCCAGGTCACTCCAGCAGTGCCTAGCTGCTCCTCTGTTCCCCTCCAGAGAAATGATAGCTTCTGTGGCAGGAAAGACAGAGCCTGTTCTGTCAACAAGAAGCTAACGGCAGAGTGGCTGCTGATACCATACAGTGAATCTGTACAATCTAAGAGGCAGGGGTATGGTGTCATTAATCTTTGGGTTAAGTAGGCAATGATAACATGCTACATTCCCAAAGATGGAAGTCTTTGGGGCTGCTGCCTGGGCTAATGGAATAACTGGCTATTCTGCAGATTCGTATGTTAAAGAGACTCTTCTCTTGGCTTTCAGGATCTGAGCTGCCTCTTTGAACTGTACTTGGAGCCACTTCAGAGTGAGACCTTTCTTACGCAAGATGAGGTAAGTAGCAAATACCTTCCTTCTGCTGCTTGGCCTCTTTAACAATTTAACATCACAAACTGACACTTTTTACCTTCAGGGTTTGTACCAAGAACCACAGGAAAAAACAAAGACAAAACTTTTTTTTTTTTTAATTTTTTTCTTTTAAGATAGGGTTTCACTGTGCTATATCTTGGCTGGCCTGGAACTCTGTAACTATGTAGACCAGGCTGGCCTTGAATTCACAGAGATTTGCCAGCCTCTGCCTCCCCAGTGCGAGGATTAAAGGCCTATGCCATCATACCTGATGCAGAGAAAGTATGTTTTACTTATGTTTGTGACCGTGGTTTGGGCTGTATCCATAGCTGTCCATGGCTTCAGGTAGCCCATGGATTGCAGGCTGGATATAACAGTCCTAGAAAACAGCTGGAGATTCCTAATCTACACTCACCCAAGTAGAAGGATCTTCAGAAAGTCTTGTGTGTGGCCTCTGTTCCAGAAAGCTCAGTGGCATATTTACAAAGGCAGGAAGATGATTTTCTTTTCAGGAGGTATGGCCAAAAGTTACTTTTCAGTTTATGAGTTATTAATATTAAATTGGCTTTCTTCTAATTTTCATTTTCTCTGGCTTTTAAATTCCAAAATCCCACTTAAAAAGTAACCTTGGAAGTACGGAATTGTAGGGAGATGGAGCTGTGTCTCTCTAGGTGTAGACTACACCCCTGTGCCTGCTCTGTAAAGCCTCTGCTTTTGCCTGTGTCTAGGGGTGTGCACTTCCTGTGCTGGGGCTGTAGGAGCCTAGCTTGTCCTGGCCACACCTTTTCACACCCTACCCTTCATGTAGATGGAGTCACTTTTTGGGAGCCTGCCCGAGATGCTGGAGTTTCAGAAGGTGTTCCTGGAGACTCTGGAGGATGGGATCTCCGCTTCCTCAGACTTTAGCGTCCTGGAAACCCCCTCACAGTTTCGGGTAAGTAGTTTGAATTTGGATCTAAAGCAAATGTAGGTGGGTAAGGTGTAAAGTTCTCCCCTATGTAGGCGAATTCAGTCTTTTATTGCATTGCTTTCTCTGTGGGTGGGGAAAGGCGGCCTTGTATTTTTGCCCTGGAGTGACTGTTCAGGGGTCAGCAGTCTGGATCACCTGATTGCTCAGCATATCTCTAGTCCACTGACTTTCAAGAAAGGTACTGTAGAAACTTCCTTGGAAGCAAGAGCAGCTCCTCCGTACGGGGTACCTCTCTTATGAGGTTTTGGGAAACTGGGCTGGAGAACGTGGATTTTCAGATGACTAACAGGGAACTTTGTCCCTTGTGAAGGAGTAATTAATTGTAAGGACCATGGCTGACAGGAAATTCTTGCAGAGGAGAGAGGGAAGGCAATAGAAAGGAGGTTAGAAGCATACAGTAGGAATGATTCATCCCAAGTATGGAGAGCTCTGAGAGTCTCCATACCCCACCCCTTAAACCAGTGGTTCTCAACTAGTTGGTTGCGACCCCTTTGGGGGTCTAATGACCCTTTTACAGGGATTGTCTAAGACTGTTGGAAATACCAGGTTGAGAACCAGTATCTTAGACCATTTGTGGTCCCATCCATCAGGGAGTTAATCTGCTGCTAGGAAGCGCCTCTGCCAGAACCTTTCCCATCAATCTAAAGGTCTGCTCAACTGAACAGAACAGTACTGACAGTTGTCAGAAGCAAACTCTTTGCTGAAGCCAGAGCACATGGAAGACATGCCTGATTTGACCTCTTCTCCTCCTTCTAGAAACTGCTGTTCTCCCTTGGAGGTTCTTTCCTCTATTATGCAGATCACTTTAAACTGTACAGTGGATTCTGTGCCAACCACATTAAAGTACAGAAGGTTCTAGAGAGAGGTGAGTTGTTTATGCCTTTTACAGTTCTTTTTTTTAAACTGTTAATAAAGGGTAGGTCTGTATCCAGCAAGTAGAGAGTCAAATGTAATTTTCATGGTTTGTCCTCCTCTCTTGATAAAAGCGAGGGGGAAGTTTTCATTATTTGTAGTGACGGTGGTCGTGGGCAGGTGGGTTCCAAGCTTTGCCGTGTGCCACTTTACTCTGTGTGTGTGTTTCTGTAAAAACACACAACCACAAGCCTCAGATGAGTGGAGAGAATGCATACTGTTTTTTTTTCCCCTACAATTCTGTTTACTTTCTTAGGCTTGTGGAGCTATAAAAACCCCTCCATCAAAAACTTCCAGGAAGCACATAACTAAGGTGGTTTTCCTGGTGGACCTGGGAAGCACTTCCTCTAGGAGGCTGTGCACTTTCCCACTGTCACGAAGGTTATGTGATGACCTACCCTTATTTCATGGAGCCTGTGGAGAGGTTTCTTCTACAATCTTGGGTTTAACGTTTCTAATGAAGCAGCTTAAACCCACTTGGTTTAAATGCAGAACTTCACAGTACCCTAGACATTTCAAGTTAAAAAAAAAAAAAAAGAAAAGAAAAACCCAAATCCAACCAACCAACCAACCAACCAACCAACCAACCAACCAACCAAAAAACAAAATAAAAACACATGTTCTTGGAATGCTTCAAATGACTGTGAGCTAGCCAAATAGCCAAAAATCCATCTTCTCTGGCCACTTTCAATGAAGGATGCTTCTTTTCACACATATCTTTTTAATGGATGGTGTACAGTAAAACAAAAATCCACTTTGTCCAATTTGTCCTTTGCCATAAAGATGAAGGATCATGTTGATACCTACATGGTCTGGCGATCAGTGTCATCTATGTGCTGTTGATTCTACCCTTGAGATATAACCTAAATGAGGGCATTTCTTCATCCAAACTGGTTGGACTCTCAATGGTTGCTCTGCCAATGGCCACCAGGGGAACCTAGTATGATGGCTGGCGTGCCCATTGCCCCATCATATGAACCTGTCATAACACTGGCACGGGATAGAGGCAGTTCTTGCTGCTCAGGGATCCTTAGGCCACACTAGGAGGGAAGAACTGTAATCAGGTATGGTCTGCTTGGAGATGTGTGGTAAAGGCTTCAAAGGTGGGGTGACACTACTTTTCAATAGTGTATAGAGTAAGTGCTAGGGCAGGAGAGTTACTGCTTTCCTTGTAATTGAAGCCCATCTTTAGGTCACCTAGTCATGGGTATACAGGGCTCCACTGTGACTTCCCATCCTTCTCTAGACTATGAACGGTATCCTCTACAATCCCAGTAAGCTACCTTCACTTGCAGGCTCTGTCAGTGGTGTGACAAAGACACTTGCTACCCTTTTCTACTCTGGTACATAAAACTTGGTGCTTGGCCCATGGATGCACTTGGTCTTATTACCGAATGGCATTAGAACTCTGGCAATATGTAAAACCCCACTGGGAGATGACATGAGACAGGTGAATTCATCTCACCATGCTCTCCTGAGGATCTGTTATCCATTGGTTGCAGCTAAAACCGACAAAGCCTTCAAGGCTTTTCTGGATGCCCGGAATCCCACCAAGCAGCATTCCTCCACGCTGGAATCTTATCTCATCAAACCTGTGCAGAGAGTGCTCAAGTACCCTCTGCTCCTCAAGGAGCTGGTGTCACTGACCGACCATGAGAGTGAAGAACACTATCACCTGACAGGTAAGACGGATCAAGAGGGATGCTTTGATTAAAATCTTAAACTAATGTCATTTAGGTCTAGTGAGTTGAAGTAGAAGACCACAGGTCTAGTGAACAGTGTTGTAAGAATCCCTAATTGAGTCTCTCCTGTACTTTCTTGGCCCTCGGCTGTGCTACAGCTAATGCTCATGCTTGCTGCATGGGGTGCCACCTTGTGGAGATCTCTGAGCAGTGCTCAGATCCAACGACAGGCAGTTGATACCTTAGTGGCTGGTGTCTCACAGGGGATGGCTACAATGACTGACTGACTGGCCTGAGGTACAGTTTGACATTAGCACCCAGACCCTGGAGATGAGCGCTAAGTGTTCCCTAGGCTCAGAGAGAAGGTGATTTGTTTTCCACATCAAAGCTAGCAGGTCTAATTGAGCCACAGCAAAATTCCCAGACAGAAACAGGTTAGCTGCACTGAGAATCATCCCGGAGAAGAATCTACGTCACACTTGTTTTTCCAGTGTATACATACTTTGGTATCATAACCAATAAAGCCAAGATTTTTTTGACATGAATACTAAATTGTACAAGTAAATAAATGATATAAATTGTAGTTAGTCATTTGTCCCTCATTGTAATTAGTCATTTGTCTATAACTTGCCCAAGAATAATGCAAGAATAATGCAAACAACTGAGCTTGCAGTTGGGTATTTGCAATGTACAGACACCGGAAGTGTTGTACTTTTTCCTTGAACTGGAGAACCAAACTCTAGGCCTCTGTATTTAAAGCACCGAGCCAAGCCTCCTGCCCTCTGATGTTGTAACTGAACAACTGTGCTGGATTCCTAACCTGCCAGGTAGTTGTGGAGGAGACACTGAACGCAAGAGTAAGCTCCTCTGAGACTGGACATGTTGGGTTGAATTCTTGTGCCACCATTCACTTTCCTCTAGAACTCTGTTTCATATTCTGTAATATGGTATTGATTATAGTCACTGTGTACAAAAGTAGCTGGGCCAAGGTTAGCTTTACTCATGGCACTTTTCACAGTCTCCTCACTTCTGAGAGAATTTGAGGTAGAGGACAGTCTGACTACCCTTGACTGTAACACCTGTGTTAAATGGGTTGTCCCTCAATCATGTTCCCATTAGTTGAGAGCTGGACTCCCAAGCTGGCGTTGGATGGGATTTAGAATAAGCAAGCAAACTCTCATATTTTTCAGAGGCACTAAAGGCCATGGAAAAAGTAGCCAGTCACATCAATGAGATGCAGAAGATCTATGAGGATTACGGGACAGTGTTTGACCAGCTGGTGGCGGAGCAGAGTGGCACCGAGAAGGAGGTCTGTGGGGGCTTTGGACTGTGCAGCTTCATGCCTGGGTGGATGAGCTTAGGCGAAGCTCCAGAGTACCTACTTGGCTACTTTCCTGGGGGAGACAAAGCTATTTTTTGCTCTTAATATAGGAAGTAATTATATAGTTTATAGAGAAATGTAATGAAAAATGTAACTGTGTCATGTTAGCATTATACAGAGGCAACAGAAGCACCAGAGCTGGCTTCTCCCCACATCCCTTCTTTCCTAAGTGAGTGGAGTTGTAGGTCTAGAAACTAGAACCCAGAGAAGGCTGGGCTTGGGGAATGGAGGAAGGAAGGAGCCCAGCATGTGGATAAAATATGGCTTGTTCCTTTCCGGTCACCATTCTGTTTTGGTATCAGATATGAGTGATTGCCTGCTTGCTCAGACAGACCCAGTGATCACTGACATTCTGTATTTTGTGTGGTTGCTAAACTTGGACCACTGAGCTGTTAAAGCACATAGAAGAAGTAGAAAGTGGTAGGAATTGAAAAGAGACAGAGCTTTTATTTATTTATTTATTTATTTATTTATTTATTTATTTATTTAGTCTAGGTCAGTTAGGTATATTTTATTAGCAGCCTTATGTGGTTCATTGACCTAAAGTAAATAAACACTAACACGGACTCTTTAGATGAACATGGCTGCCATGGCAGAATTGTCACCTATGTAAGTGTGTACTAAAGCAAAACAAAACAAAAACAAAAATCCAAAAACAAAAACAAAAAACAAAAAAATCCCACTACCTCCTATTAGTTAACAGTCCTGTAATCTCAGCTATTTGGGAGGCTGAGGTGGAATTACAATATCAAAGCCTGCTAAGAAATTTAGAAGGACCTGGTCTCAAAACAAAAAATAAAGGAGAGGGCCAGGTCAAGGATGTAGCTCAGTGGTAAACCCCTGGTCCAGCAGGCAGGAAGCCGTAAATCATCCCTCTTACTACCGGTGCAGCTTGATGCTTGGCTCACATTTACCGACCTTCCACCACTACACTGTGCTGATGGACACTATAAATAGAACAGTAGGCATGTACATTTTAGCAGTGAGCACATGTGTACAACTCTGTGTCTAACATCAAAGAATCCACTCTGGGGTTTCCACATCTTGGTTTCTTGTCTTTACAATGTAGGTAACAGAGCTGTCTATGGGGGAACTTCTGATGCACTCTACAGTTTCCTGGTTGAACCCATTCCTGTCTCTGGGAAAAGCCAGGAAGGACATTGAGCTCACAGTATTTGGTTGGTATTCCTTTCAGAAGCGTTAACAGTAACAACAAGCTTGACTAACACTGCTGTGCCTGCTGACTCCTGGTTTTGGGGAGTTAGGAAGATGCTGCTTGGGGAAGCACCTCATGAGGTGGTTTGGGAACCTGCTGTCTAAACAGTACTTCATTTCAACCCCTCTTCCACCTCACCCAGAATTGGGAGAGTACGTAGGTAGTATGTTCTCGCTGAGACCTTGATGCCACAGTCTCAGCTGTCAGTACAACAATGGATAAACAAATGCCAGGACCCACTTTCCTAGTCAGGACCTTCTGCACAGTTCAAGTCAGGCAAGGCAAAGCAGGTGTTAACGCAGTGGAATTTCAGAGGCATCCATTTGAAGGGCTTTCTTCTCAGAAAGCATCCAGCTCTAATTTAACCTTGGAAGAGTTTGCAGAGAATAACGAGACCTTTCTTTTTCTTTAACTCTCTTTAGTTTTTAAGAGAGCTGTCATACTGGTTTATAAAGAAAACTGCAAGCTGAAAAAGAAACTGGTAAGAACAATGACTTTCAATTAATGCTGCCTTTTCATAGCTCTCCCGTGCTGTACTGAAACGCTTGCTAAGAATCACGGCCTCACTGTCCAACAGAACGTAACACCATCTGTCTTACTCAGTTACACTTTATTATAAAGCACTTATAAATAAAAACACCACACCCCAAGTCTACTCGGCTCGATGAACTTGTACAGTTAGGATAGCATTAGGAATAGAAGCCCGAGGGACTTCACGGTACACTTTACACATTCAGTGCCGACTCACGGATCACATCAGAACCAAAATATTCATGACAAAATTAGAACTAGAAAAACAATTAGCTTTATATCCTCTTCATAACTTGAGTATATTACTTGTATTCAGTCCTTCCTCATGCCCCTGTAGTTTAGCCTTTCCTGTTCTTTTCTTCATGTTACAATATTGTACCCAAATGTGCATTTGTTCACATACATACATATGTAAGTATACATATGTACAAATACTTTTGGCTAGATTCTGCGTATGAAAAGAACATTGTTTTTTTTTTTCTTCTGAGATTGAGTGACCTCATTTAATATTTACATTCTGAGTCCACCTACTTTATTGTAAATGTTTATATCATTTTTCTTTGGGAGCGAGTGTAGCACACCCCGCCCCAAGTTTTCCGTACCCACTCATCTTCTGATGGACAATTCATTTGACCCCAGTTCTTTGTTACAGTGAATAAAGCAGCAATAAACATGGGAGTGTAAACATCTCTATGGTGGGCTACTGAGTTCTCTGCACATATGCTCAGAAGTGGAATAGCTATCCATCTATTTTAAAAGATGTTACGACAAACACCTAAGTGAGGCCAAAACAGAAAACTTTTATTTCCTGAAAATAATAGTACATGTGATTCTATACATACAGAGGTCTGAAAACGTTTTGGTTTTAAAATAATTTTTACTTTGATTCAAAAAATCAAGACCCAAACAAAACTCCAAAGCATTCAGTCAGAACATCGATGGCTAACATAAACCACTGGCAGGAAGGCAAGGCTGCTGTCTTTGCACAGATAGGGAACCTTGCATTCCATCAACTCTCACTTTGGCACAGTCCCAGACCCAAGCTTGGGGTGGTGGTCTTTGAGTACTGGGTGTGTAGCTGGTTTGTATGCATCTTAGACACCCACAGAGACTTGCGCACACATTAAGATACCTCTGTTCGCCGTACACATGACTTTAACCTCTTCCTGATGGTCTCTCACGTTGCAGCCTTCCAATTCCCGGCCTGCTCACAACTCTGCTGACTTGGACCCATTTAAATTCCGCTGGTTGATTCCCATATCTGCACTTCAAGTGAGACTGGGGAACACGGCAGGTAAACACTTTGGGGGAATGCAATGACAAACATTACCATGTGCTTTTGGTTCATGTGGGATGGAAAAATAAGACTTCCATGTTAATAAGATTTCTGATAGGCAGGAATGATTTGTTTGAGCTCATGGGTTTCAGGCTGAGGTACTGTGGCAGCATAGTACCATATAAGGAGCATGTGCTGGCAGGCATCTGTTTACTCAGTGGTGACAGGAAGCAGAGAGGAAAACAGGAAGTAGTAGGTGAGGGCTTAGTGACTGAGAACACACCTTCTCTGACCTAACACCCTCCCCCTCGGTCCAGTCTTACAGCCTCCACCCGTTCTCCCTCCAGGCTAGCCACCAAGTCTTGAAGGGCATGGGCCTTGGGGACATCTTCAAACCATCGCACCTGGGGGCATTTTTGCATGTATTTTACTTTTTAGAGAGAGAGAACGAGAGCTGGATTCTTTTGCTGTTTCTTCACAATCTTTTCGAAGAAACCAAGTGGCACTGGATGGCCTTTTACAATCAACAACTGTCAATATTTTCTTTTTGCTGTAGGCTTAGATATCTTAAAATTAAACAAAGTTCCACAAATTTATATTTTATGAACTGAGACATACTAGAAAATTCCTTAATACTAAGAGTACTGCAAATAAAGAAAAACAAAACAAAACAAAAAAACCCTTTAACATTGAACAATGTTCCGAGGACCTTCTATAATAACTGGCAGCAAGAGCCTTTGGTGTTAATGACCCACAGGCTTATGTGCCAGAGGTCCTTATGTTTCTAAGAACGTGACTGCATGGGACAGAGGGGAACTCTGTCACCTCAAGTTCCTGAGCAAATCTTCCTGTTTGTTTCAAGAGGGGTAAGGAACAGGAACTAGGTAGCCGAGGCAAGATGCCTGCCACAGAGTCAAGGATAGCTTGGGCAACTGCGTGAGGTCTTGCCACACACACAACAGAAGTAAAACAAACACCATAAACTACCACCCCCCAAAACCAACAGGCACCTCCACGGAGGGATGGAGAATTTAGGCCCAAGTTTTGTAGCTATTTGTTACTATCTCAGAGTGTGCTGTGGAAGAAGATGAAGAGATGGACCTCTGGACGTTTGAACTGTTAATACCCCAGGTATCCTCAACTGTAGCATTTTGGCAAAGTTGTGGACTCTTGTTTCCACTTCCTTTTCCCCAGGGACTGAAAACAATTCCACATGGGAGCTGATTCATACCAAGTCAGAAATTGAAGGACGGCCAGAAACCATCTTTCAACTGTGCTGCAGGTACTTCCCCTGACACATGATTAATTAAAACTTCATTGTGTCCCTTTAAAAGGGAGTTCAGGGTTAGAGAGTTGGCTAAGCTAGGAGCACTTGCTGCTCTTCCACAGGACTTGGGGTTGGTTCCCAGCACCCATGTTGGGTGGCTTACAACTACTTGTAACTCTAGGCTCTGTGGGATCTGACCACCTCTGGTCTGTTTAGTGCCCCCCACCCAAGGTGTGTATATATATATATATATATACACACACACAGAAAGTAAATGTTGTTTTTGTTTTTTCTTTAAAAAAAAACTGTTGTGTGTGTGTGTGGTATGATTTTAGTGCCCTCCTGAATTGAATTTTGGTCTGAGGTCACAGCTTCACCTTAAAAAGAGCAAGTGATGGTCCAATATAATATGTTGATCAGAAATACTTTAAGTCAGAAAAGCCTTCTGAGGGGCAAGGCAGAGCTGGCCAGGGCTTTATCCCTAGGCCCATAAAGAAGCAGAAAGACAGTGCATACTCTTTCTTTTCTTCCCCCAGTGACAGTGAGAGCAAAACCAGCATTGTTAAGGTGATTCGTTCTATTCTGAGAGAGAACTTCAGGCGCCACATAAAGTGTGAGTTACCATTGGAAAAGACATGTAAGGATCGTCTGGTACCTCTTAAGAACCGAGTTCCTGTTTCAGCCAAATTAGGTGAGAATTTTGCAATACAGCTATAACTGCTATAACTGAATCTGTCAATGATCAAGAGTAACTTTACTTCATCCTCTCATAAAATATACCTACATCCAGCCCCAAACCCCTTCTCCCACCAGCTGGCACAATGCAATGCAGACTTACCTTTTCATTTCTTCCTCTAGGATAAGCAGGAGTCTGAGGCTTTGCTTACTCTGCAGGGTTCCTAGTTTTAGGCTTCCTGAGGGTCAATCCTTAATTTGGATTAAGACTAGATATACTCATTCTTATGTGATCACTCCCAGCAGGTTATCAGCTTAGATTATATTGTTGTTAATCTTTCTACTTCCCAAACTAAGCATTTTGTTTCTTCCTTTAAAGTTTTTTTTTCCTAGGTGCTAAAGATTGAACCTAGGACCTTTTGATAGATGCTAGGTAGGCCTTTACCACTGAGGTATACGTCTGAATTCTTTGTAATCTTATAGGGCACAGTCTCCTTTTCCCTTCTCCCCACCCCTTTGATCTTTCCACATCTGCATATACTCTATTTTGTTCTATTGTCAAGATAGTCTGTGGTCATCAAAACTAATATGGCGCTAATGGCTTATAGAAACACCCTTTCCAACTCTAGAGAACACAATTAACCACTCCCCCCGATTAAATCCTCACAATCTTAATTCTCTTAACATTGATTATAAATTCCAGCAAAGACAGTGCTCAAGAGAGGCAAGGACATTTCCCAGGTTCTAATGGAGCATCTAGGGACGTGAACAGGGAAGCTGTGTAGAGATGTGGTATATTTTCAGATTACAAGGTAAAAGAATGTAACCTAGATTTTTATTAGTGATTCAGTTTACTCACTGGCAAACTAGTAATTCCAGCCCTTATGGTAGTTGGTACTTTATTGTTCTATCTATATGATAAAGCTCTGGGAATCTAAAGACGGCTGAATCCCAACTTCATCTCAGACACGCCTTGGGGTGCAGCTAACGGGCACAGTGCTTGCCCAGCATTCGGCAAACTCCTGCTCTCCAGCATGCTTAAGACTGGGTGTGGTGGTGCACACTGGAATCACAGCACTCAAGAGAGCAGCAGAGTTTACCCTACAGGCATCAGTAAATTTATGGTTTGACATAACTACTCCCCACAATAACAAAATCTTCATGTGTCACCCCCGAGGCCCCAATTCTACACTGTAGACTCTGTTCCTGTGTCATATGGAGAAATGTGCTTTTATCTTGGTAGCCTCATCCAGGTCTTTGAAGGTCCTCAGAACATCCTCCAGCAGCGAGTGGCCCAGTGAGCCCAGCAAGGGCAACTCACTGGACTCGGATGAGTGCAGCCTGAGCAGCGGCACCCAGAGCAGCGGCTGTCCGGTGGCCGAGAGCAGGCAAGACTGTAAGAGCACTGGGTTGGACAAGGATGCCCAGGGCCTGGCAGAGTTCCCAGATGGCCTCATCAAAGAAAGCGACATTCTGAGTGATGAGGATGAGGACTTCCACCACCCTCTGAAACAGGGCAGCCCTACTAAGGACATCGAGCTTCAGTTCCAGAGACTGAGAATCTCTGAGGAACCTGACATGCACCCGGCTGGGCAGCAGCCTCTCACAGGGCCGGGTGAACAGCCCAAGCTGGTCAGGGGCCACTTTTGCCCCATTAAACGAAAAGCAAACAGCACCAAGAGGGGCAGAGGAACTTTGCTCAAGGCACAGACTCGTCACCAGTCCCTGGACAGCCATCCGGAAACTGCCAGCATTGATCTAAATTTGGTTCTGGAGAGAGAATTCAGTGTCCAGAGTTTAACTTCAGTCGTTAATGAGGAGTGTTTTTACGAAGCACAGAGCCATGGCAAATCATAGTATGATTTGTGTGATGTGGTTACAATGCTCCTATGTTTTTAAATTGGTGGAAAATAGAAACTGCAGGAAAACTATTCATGTTTGGGTTTTACGCAGTATATATTTTTCCACAAAACCTGTAAAGATTTAAGTTATTTTAATTTATTGTGAATCAGAAAACTAGACTTAGTTGGTCAGAATCTGTAAATTACTAGTTTCCATCCCTTTTGAGCAGGAATCAAATGATTTAGTCTTGTAATAAATTTGCATTCTAATTATTTTAAGTTATGTGGGATGAGATTGGGAACGTTGTGATTGATAGCTTTTAAAAGGGCCCCTCCCCCCAGTTCTTTGGGCATTTTCTTTGAGCTGTTAGTTTTTGCTTTATTTAAAGCACATTTAAGTTATTTTTACATGGTTTAGGGGCACAATGTACAGATATTTCATTTTGGAAGGTTGTAATAAATGCTGTTTATACTAAACATGTCGTATCTATGCAGTATATATATATTAAAGGAAAGCTTGCACTGTATCTACTTGGTATTTATTTTCTTATGAAGCAGAATAGTGAACGGCAGGAGGTCATTGGAATTTGTCGATACAGAGTGTTACAGAAGGATGCACGGATGTGGAGATCCACACAGTGGCTAGGGACTGTCAGGCAAGAACCCTAAGACAGCAGTTAGAACTTGCAGCTTTCTGAGTCACCATCTTTTTCTTGCCCTTTCCTTTTCTTTTGCTTGAGCTCTTCTCTGAAGTTATAAGCAAAGAGTTGTGGGTCTTCATCACACATTTTTCTGTATACATCACACAAACTCTTAAAATGCATAAGCGAGAGGTGGGTGGGCCGGAGAGTTGGATCAATGTCTGCCAACTGTAACAGCCTTCCAGTGCTTTCTAGGCGCTGCGCTTCAGGGAATAACATTCTGAAAGGAAAGTGAAGGAGGGGAGAATTGTACTTACATTGTTATGTCAATCATGATATATCTTTGTGCGAACTTCAAAATGACACATTGGTAGATGCCTGAGGCTTGGGTTTTAGAGCCTCTTGGGACCCCATGTGTGACTCTCTGGAGGCAGGTCTAAGCTAAGACTTGAAAGGTGTGTCCACAAAGGAAAAACGACCTTCCCAAGGTAAAATGAAACACATTTGACTTGCCTCATTTTGGCAAATGCTTTATTATATCTTATGTAATAAATTTCTGATTCTGATTCTCTATAACCTGGATGTATTAAGTCTTCAAACCTTACTACAAAAGTGTGACTCATTTTGCAAAGTACTGTTATCTGTTCTGAAAACAAATAATTCTCAACCACCTTTAAAACTCGAAAGAATGTATTTTAAATTTCATTTAATTAAACCCAGTCAACTGGTTTTTGAGTGAACTTAGATGACTGAAACCCTGCAAAAGTGTGCCTGGACCGTGACCATGGAACTCATCCACAGGGCCTGACAGAAGCCATGGTAGGTAGATGATAAATTGTCCTTTCAGTTCAGCCTGATGGTAACGCAAACTCCACAATGCTTAAGGTGAGGTCACTTAGATCAATGGGCTCAGCGTCAGGCTAGAGTATCTGACAACAGACTCTCACACTTGGGACTACTTTGTGGTATGTTGTGACTGAAAAATATCCACAAGGATCCTTCAGAATGGAGTTCCATATGTGGTCCCTGTCTGTACAAAGGAAGGGGCCCTGAAATGAATGGGGCCCATCATGTAGTTTGTGGGAGGTGGGTTTGCCTTGGAAGCAGTAAGACCAGCTTTAGGCTAGATCAATTCTAGGACTTCCAAAAGTAAGATGTACTTTTTGTGATTCCTGCAACCTCCAATTAGAGCTGGTAGGTACGGATGTATGAGTTATACTTTAAAACTAGTGCGAACAAATGGCAGGCTGATTCACAACACTCGTCAGCAAAAATCCTTTAAGAGGGTTTTATGAGGTGCTTTGGTTTCAGGATCCAGCTGCCTCAACACACCTGAAATCATCTCCTGAACTAACCCACATTTCCTACCTCCTACAGATTACCGAAACGGACCTGTGAGAAGTCTTAGAGAATGAACGATGTGTGCTGAACACCGAGCCCTTTTAAGCAGCTATATGTTGACTATATTACGTAGAAACTTTAAATACTGCCCTTTCTTCATTCTTAACAGACTATAATTGGACCTAACTAAACACTGTAAAGCCTACTAGATAAAAAGTAATTGGTATGCTTGCTGCAGGGCCATGACTCAGTCTTATTTTTCTGGAGGCCCCATGTGCCTCTGTGGAGCAGTGAGGCTGACAGAACAAAAGAGCTCCCTGCTGAGTGAAGGTAGGAAGACAGATGCTATGATGCCATTATGGCTACTAAGAAGTTATTTATATTTGCTGTCTAGTTCTCACGTGTTTCCTTAAGGTACAGAGACAGCAACTCATACAGACTGAGTCCTGACAGAAGCCAAAACCTTCCTAGCAGCAAGTCAGCAAAAGCTTTACACTTGTGGGTTTTAGGTTGTATTTAAGACAAAACCAAACCTATATATGGCATCTAAGGTGAACCCAGGGCATTTCCTCAGTGGTAGTGATAATGCTGCTAACCACAGGACCTAAACTAAGAGTCATACAGTCAAAAAGGATTCTTACCCAAGCCCTCGGTGGCAATATTTCCTTCGAAACTGAAACACATTCTGGACAACTTTTTCTACCAGCTTGAATGGCTGCTTGATCTTGGGCTCTATCAAGGGCGTAAGGTGCACCACTCCTACATCAACCTTCATTGAGAACAATCATTAAATCAAACATATCAGCATATGGCACAATGTGATGAAGCTTTTCCCCAGTCTTGAGGATCAAATCCATGGCTTCTTGCATGCTTGACAAACAAATGCTCTAACACCAAGCTCTATCCCTTGCCTTGAACAATTCATCTTTGGAAATCACAGGAGCAGGAGCTTTCTAGCAGTTCTCATGAACCTGTCAGTGCCTGTATTTTCTATGCACACAGAAGCAGTGTGGGCGGTGCTGCTGCCTTTCAAAAGAAAGTCTAGTTCCCCAGTCCCACTCTGGCAATCATCTTCTCTTAGGATAGCTTGTTTTCCAAGGTTCTTGTGGTTGCATAACTCCTTTCAAACTGCTAGCAGCATACTGGATGGAGGACACTGGTTTGTTTTTAAGTGGGAGGAAAAGTAAGAGGCCAGAGGCTAAGATGTAAGACCTAGAAGAACCGAGAGAAGACAAGTTTGGCCACAGGTGACTAGGCTCCCTGGGCACCACAGCACTGTTTGCATAGCCTGAAATGCCTGCCAGCCGGCTCAGAGCTTCCTCTCTGTGAACACTACTGATTTTGTTGCTAAAGGTTCGGACGTACAGCGATACCAATTGGCTGTAACTGGAAGCAGATCTTTGACCACAGGGGCAGTGTGGTTGGACACACAGAAGGTTCTAAACAAGAGTGAAACTGTCTATGGGAGGAACTTTCTAAACAAGAAGGCTCCTAAATGCCCACCAAACTTTAGACTTCTTTGATGATTATTATGGTGAACAGTTGTTATGAATACTAAGTACAACATTAAATGTTCTTAATAACCTTCCCTTCCCCACTCTCCCTACTTAATAACCTTTAATAACACTTTTCAACTGTGTTCTTTAAGCTGCTCTGTCAATTCCTCTAGTTAACATATACTTCCTGTAGGACTCTTAGGCCTGTACAAAACAAAATGAGGTGGCTTGTAGTTACAGAGAATCTGTGGAAGGAACAAGGTCCAGAAGTTGGGGAAGAGAAGCAGCGAAGATGCACCGTAATGACTAAATGTCAAGGAACCTTCTGGCTTTCCACAAACTCTGACATGCAATCTTTACCATTCATCATGATTCTCAGTGTCTGTCCAAGTCCTAGAGCATCTTCTATACTTCACCCTGTGATGTCATTCTGTGACCCCCCTGCACCCTTCAACAACGTTTACACTCACTGGATTCCTGCCCTGCCTCTCCTTCAGCCACTTTCTTGAATCATCTCTAATTTTTTTCACTCAATTCTCCCAAATACACAGTCAACTCTAATAAGTTCTTGTAGTCTCAGTGTGCATATTCAACAATCCAGTGGTCTCAAGTTACCTTTAAGGAACAAAACTAATCAAAACCCAAACAACAACAGAACAGTATGAGATAAAATTTAGCTTCCATCTGACCTGGGATTATAAAAGTGTAAAAACAAACAAACAAACAAACAAACACACACCCACTATAAGATGCAAACAGCACTGAGATTAAAGGCACGAGTTCAGGGAAAGACGCACTGATCTCCCTGTAGGCAGCTGCCACTCAGTGGTGCTCTTGGATTTCATAAGCAGACTGCATCCTTACTGCTTAACTCATTCCTGTACTATCCAATTAGTGCCTGCAAATACAGGAAACTCCTGATGCCTGCTTGATTTAAATCGCCTTAAAATGCTACAGAACTGTAACAGCATCCTATGTAAACTAACAGACTTCTCGAGTTTGATGGTATTCTGGTACCTAGTTAAGTCAGCATTACATCAGGCGGAAAGAAAATCCCCACTCACAACGTAATACTAAATGGCAGAATTCTAAACTCACTGGCAGAGAGCGCAGTCAGCAACTGCCCTGAACTCGGGAGGACCACCCCTGTTCACCTTCTCTGCTCACTCCTGTAAAAGCATTTCTTGAAATTACTGAGTGATGGAGGCCCTTTTCTCTAAAAGCCACACCGAAAGAGTGGTTGGTAACTATGGTAACAGATACAAAGTGCTTTTTACTTATAATTGAACACTAATATTTATTTAATACAACAATCATTATGCTTTTCTCTTGAATCCTAAATCTTTTGAATTAGAATAAAAAAATAAGAAAAAAAGTTAGATACACTTAAAGTACTCTAGCCTCATTGTGGTTCACAGGTATTGCAGCTGATTTGATTGCTCCCCTCCCTTGGATGCCTGCATGACACCTAGTACTAGGAGAGCTATTCCCCAGGGAGGAGGCTTTCTAGTCAGGTCCAGATTGGGTTCTGTGTCTTGTTCTGAAGTGCATGGTGTCTAACCTCTGAGAAGCAACCAAGG